TTACTTTTATACGAAATGAAAGTCACTCCAACAACGTTATCTCAGGAGATTTATCGAAACCCAGTTTACTTTCGTTTTTTTATTACAGCATTAAAGGCTTTTAATCTGCTGGTTCCTGAATGGTCAGTCATCTTAAATCTCGCAAGTTATAAAGTCCAATAAAATGACCTGCCGGATCATTAAGGGAAACTAAACAATCGAAGAAATGACATATAATGGCCCACAAAATCTAGGGAGAATGACGTGAAAATTGGAGGCAAAATCGAAAAACAGGCTAGGGGCGCAGAGATACAATTAAATTAAGTGGATTCAATCATTTGAGCATTTTGCAAGCGACAATGCTAGTCTTGTTTATTGCTCTAATTCGACGGAGTCTAGGTTACAGTTAGAGAGCAAGAATGAATTTTTATTGTTAGTAGTGACTACGTTTCACAGCGTTCCCGAGTCTGATAGTTGCAAAGTATGCGAGTATCGACTTTTACTGAACTGATAGTGCCACTGCCCGCATTTAATTGATGGGAATTAAAGTTTAACTTAAATTACATTTCGTCCTGTTCTCAACCAGATTGAGAACGGCCAGGCGTACTTGTTTTGACTGGTACTAATCAGCAGAGAAACTCTTCCATACGAGGACCAGGCTCACAATGGAGGCAATAGGTTCCCAAGTGCTCGAATCCAGTTAGTTGATATTCAAAATAAATATTAATACAAGAGATTGAGAGTCTTAAGATGGGGTAGGAGCATTGAAACGAAGGAGTTTGAGATTGTGTATAGCGGGTAACTCACTCTAATAACTCTCATTCCCTTCCTTCAAACCTTAACTTGCCACAGGCATCCAGTCTTCCAACAATTGGCTGAAGAAGTTCTGGCCGACATCCTAGCCAGCATCATGGCAGAGGCAAGCAGTCGCGAGATCGACCTGACGATGCGACCCCGGATCATCGCGCTGCCGCCTAAACGCCAGGCAACCGAATGACAGAGCCACCAACATACAATCCCAAACATCGGCTAGGACTAGCGTTACGCTTTCACCAGCGTAACCGAGGCAAAGCCCGGGCCTATGCAAGCTGACAAGAGCAAGACTAGTGGAGCTCGCCTGCGTTCACAACCGTCCCAGGCATGCTCAACACTTAAGCAGTACCAGATGATGCGAACAGCGATCATGTGGATACGCATTTCGGGCTTTATTTCGGAAAGTAACCATCTTGTTTGTTTTACTCGACTCCAAGAGAGGAATACCTGTTGCCTATTCCGCATGACTAGACACTTTTTAATGCATATGTGAGTGGTTTCATTTGCATGCTCTGCTTTTCAGAAAAGGTGCACACTGGTCTAGATGGCTTACGTTTTTATCAATTAGAACACTAGTCTCATTGGGTGTAGACCCCTTCTAAACTAAGAAGCCCTTTACCATTCTTATGTCAATAATAAATCATATATGCGCTCCTGAATATAGAAGTCGAACAGTCTAATTTCCACGGTTTTTACGAATGCATGAACAAAAGCTATGCTGTATATAAACCATTTTTGCTCGAAACTTTATCAAAAAGGCGCTTTTCAACTCGTTATCAGTTAAGCTTACATTCTCCTATATGCGGAAAGTCTTCTCGTGCTTCGTCCAAAGCAACTGTGGCAACAACACGTAGTTTGATAACTGATATTTTATCGTGCAAACATAGACAAAATATTTGTCGGGATAGAAATCCTTATATTTTTAAAGAGTTAAATAACTCTGAGTCAAGATGAAGTACCCTATCCAGTCTTAATTAATATACCATAAAAATTGGAATAATATGAGTAAGAGAAGATTTTCTATCTTCTAT